AAACACTACTGGGGTAAATGCATGCATTATACTGGCCTATTTAAGCCCATTCTAATTCTTTACCAACAAATAATTTGCTCAAGGATATCACAGTAGCAACAATCTCAAGCTAGAAGTAATACTGTTCATAGGAATGAAGATACTTAGCAATCACTGCTGATCTATACTATTTATTAATATGCCATATAACCAGGAAGAAGCATCGCTGCACTCAAGCTTCTAAAACTCTTTAGGAGATAAGAAAATTGTAGAAGTCCACAATACAACATGTTGGCGTAATATTTTAGAAAGATTTAGTTACATCTTTTTATTCAACAGAATGACAATAACAGGACATTAAATGAGATGGATCTTCCTGTGTTTACCAGCAAGTTTCCTATCTTTCCTTCTGTTTCTCTGCCAAGTGCAAGGTATCCCCTGTCCTCTCTCTTTTGAAACCCATTCCTAAAAGAGCTTTTTGTAGAAGCCAGGAGGCGCAAAGAAGAGTAAGTTAGAGGGCTTAGTATTTTCCCTAATAATCTCTAAAGTGATTTGTTATGGTAGTTTTATAAATATTGTATTGATTCCACTTGCTTGAAATGTTGTATTCTATGTATAAATGCAACCGTCTGTAAAGACATAGCTATCATATTACCTTTAGTAAAATATTAGAATAGTGAAAGTTTAAAGTTGCTGAGTTGTAAAAGCTCACAGTGTAAATTAATGTGTGAAGAATGTATACTGGATACACAAGGAAAAACGTCACTCCCCCAATTATTGAGGTCATGGTGCTAAACGTAAGCATCTATGCAGCAGAGAGTTATAGATTTGTATAATCTATATATGGCAAGATTATATTCTTTCCCTTTTCAAAGGCTGTTATTTCTACTGCAAACCATTAATGAAACTATTCAACAAGTAATTTTCATTCAAGAGTCAGCAATATCATGTCAAATTCTCCTTTAAAAACACTTAGCCCTTATACCTTATGTATAAACATTAGTTAGCTAGCCTTCTGTATTATCCTTTCTAACTATTAACTTTGTCTATTAATATGGAAGTAAATTTGACAAAATATATTGTTAATTTACTAAACCTGGTAACATAAATGAATTGAAAGTAAATGTTAAGGTATCCTTTGTTATTGATTCAATTTAACAAAATGCTTCGGATAATACACCGAATCAAAAGTTAAAGAAATAGAAATTTAGATTTGTAATTTCATGGAATAAATTTTTAACCATGCCAAACACATCCATAACAAACACCCTCCTAAATCACAATTAAAAAAGACTAAGGGAGAGGAACATCAGTTAAAGAATTCCTGAACTGTAGTTAAAATACATACCTACACAATTGACATGTGATACAGTAAAATACAATGAATCTACAAAATTCACAGGCCTCAATGTGACCATTCCTTTGCATCGTATCTCTTGTCTGCCAGGATCATGGCCTATTCAGTAAAACAAGTATAATCATAAAGCACTCATGCTCCAAAATCCCTGGTGTTCTTGATTAGAGGCTAACTTGGAAAATAGATTAATCTCACATTGGTAGTTAAATGCACAAGCCTCCAATCTGAAAGAGAACTGAAGGTTCTAAATCTGGAATACCTAACCAGAAAATAGCATTAAAATTCATAAAATGATTAAGATCTTGGAGAGAGAAGATTAAAAAAGAAAGAAGAGCTGGGAGTCGGGAAGCAACTAAAAACCCCGAGGAACTCCTCCAAATAAAATATGTGAAAAGCTGATTCGGCCAAGTTGAGTGAGAAGAAATTATCTGTGAAACAGAAGGAAAAGCAGTAGGGACAAATACTTTAACACTTGAGAGGAGGTAATTCCAAAAGGAAAGTGATCGACATTGTTCAAAGCTACGGAAAATTAAACCTTTTCTATTTGATTTGGCAAACCAAAATTGCTCATGACCGTCATTAATTTATTTGAGTGATAAAGATATAAGGCAGCCTGGAGAAGGTTAGAAGATTAGAAGGGAAAAGATGAGGCTCTCCTGTAAAAATTTCCAAGCTCAGAAACCCACTAGGGCACTCTATGGGTTGGAATCAATTCAATGGCAGTGAATTTCATTTTGTTTGTTTGTTTTGGAGTGAGGTGGGGGTAGGGGTGGTTGGAAAAGGTTGTAGTGTTAACAAATGTTATGGATTATAACCCATCAAAGATACCAAAGATTTAAACAGTAC